ATTCTATAATCAATGGACATCTGATTACAGTTGGAGAACAGCAAACTTGGGAAAACCAGGCAGACTTCAGACCTGGTCGTGGGTGTATCTACCAGATATTCACATTCCATGAGGCTCTGGAACACAGGCGCATTTACCAACACCCGATACTAGCTGTATTTCTCGATCTGAAGGCGGTTTTCCAGTCCACAGATGGATGGTAGTGTCTCTCACTTGATAGAGATGTCGGTTAAGTACATCATTCTGTTGAAGGCTATTTACTTGAAGGCCTGTGGGTGTGTTATAGCTAATAGTGAGTTGTCAGGTGAATTGTACATTTCGACTGGCACCCACCAAGAATGCCCACATCCACTATTCTTAATTCTGTCATGACGTACTCTTGTCATCATAGGGATCGGTCTTGTTACAAGAGAATCCATGGTAGATATAGAATATGCAAATGACATAGTCCTGTATGGTGACTCAGTAATTGGTAAGATAAGAATATTTGGGTTACTTTTCTCACTATCTAAATGTAAACTATTGTTCTGGAACTGGTCTTCAGTAGTGCCTTGTTCATTAACAGGGAGTGAAGTGGTTGATTGTGTTAACCACTTCACTCAGCTGAGAAGGCAAATCAGCCACGGTGGGTCAGTGGTTGACGAAATCCCTCTACGGATACAAAACCCCCCACTGGCTTTTAATGAAATTATGCTATTTGTATCACTGGTGTGATATCAAATTGTCTATTAAGCGTCTAGTTTACTGCGCTGCAGTTCGCTCTGTTTTACTATATGGCTGTTGAACATGGTCAATAAATGTAAAGGACATAAGACGTATTCAGGTATTCGACCACCATTACCTTAGTAGTATAGGCTGTGTATCCTGGTGTCATCATGTTAGTGGCGTAGAAATCAGGTACAGAGTTGGGGACGGAGTGACGCAGAAACCAGTGGCTGGAGACTCTCTAGGTGGTATACTTTAGAATTGATGACAGTGACGCAGATATATGCACCTATTATCTTAATCCTACCTATTATATTGAATCCAGTACTTTTTTTACTCCTTCACTCTCTCTTTTACTACTTTCTACTACATTTGACCGGTTTTTCCTTCTTTCATCTAATTTCTTTGCTGTTTAATATCCTGATATATGGTAAGGCAACGTAGACTGTTATATCATAATGCCAAGTTTATGTTGGTATTGACTGCTTATCGCTCGGAAAAAAACACTTAAGAGACAGGATATAGCCATGAATTACGACCTCAAAGCTAAAATGAAATATATGGCGGTAATTCCTTGAATTCCTCCTAAGAAAGCTTCTACAATATTGCACAACTATGCGCTCAATATACTATATCCTAAATTCTGTTCACAATTTACTGATTTAATACATGAATAGAGACTCTTTAACACATTCAGGTGACTGATTCTAGGATAAATAAAACTTTTAGCCTTTCATAAACTATTGTTGAATTGTTCTATTACGTACCACACTCCTTTTGTTTCCGGTGAACACTGATCTCATTTATGTATACCACATTTCAGTTGCCTAGTGGAACATGGGACTTCAGTAGCACGTCGCTATTTCACTCTGTTCTCTACAGTCTTTTCTTCTTCTAACCTTGCTTCACGACTACCCACAAGTTTTCATTTCTTTCTCACCCTCGGACGCCCAAATCGTCATTTCCCATTTGGTTTCCACTCAACGGCCTGACCTGGCACGTGATGTTCACAAACGGTCCTCTCAGTGTTTGTCCAATCCAATCTATCTCCACTTTCTTCTGGATATTTGTTGAGTGGTCGGTTGTTGGTTGCCAGGCCAGAGTTCCCCGTTGTTTATTCTTTCCGGCCATACGATCTGATCTTTCGTATCGAATGAGCAAGCGTAGGCCGCAGCTGTTGATGATGTGTCTGTAGTTTGTTGGAAATGTTTTTCTTAACGGGCCACCAACTCTCTTAACCATCACATAGGAGCACTGACTTGACTGACATTAGTGTTGAAAATCTGGATATTTTTCATGCTTTATGCTGAGTAGAGTAGATCCTCATACTGATTTCAGGATAGGGAAGGCCTGTCTTGCTGTCTTTCAGATCCTGGTTTTGACATCCTCATCTGTGTCTGTCCCGCCTGTAGTTGAAATGATGCAGCCTAGGTATTTAAGTCGGTGGAAGAGACAACTTCTTTTATACTCCTTTAGTTGATGGTGATTGCTTCTTGTTGTTGTTGGTTGTGTATCTTCATTACCTCTGTCTTCTCTACGTTCAGGAAGTACGTCCCTTCTTCAGTGCCTCGCCTCTTCTGCCAACTTGTTAGTTTTCGCCTGTAGATCTTCGAGTTTGTGAGACATTAGACATAAATCATCATCGTTGGTGTAATTCTAATACTTTGGGGGTCTTGTCATCAGTCAAACAGCGTATGCCCGTCTTCTCGCTCCTCACAGTTTCTTGCATGATCCAGTCCAATCCACCACGAATAGAAAGGTCATCGGTGATAGTAGGCAGCCTTGTCTTACTCCTGTCTTCACTCCAAAGGCGTCAATGAGCTTTCCATTGTGAATCTCTTCGCATGTAGTATCATATAGCATGCAGCTTTTGTTGAATGAGGCTGATAAAGGTTTGTGGCACTAAAACGGTAGTGTTGAAGTAGCTGACAAATTACTTCTCGGTCGACGATGCCAAAGGCTTTTTCAAAACCAATTAGGTTGAAGTCAAGATCCGGTTGACTGCCATTCTACGCTCTGTTCTATGATGATGAGTAGTGTAGCGTTGCAATTTGATCCGCACATGACTTGTTCTACTTGAAGCCAGCCAGCCATCCTATTCCGGTGGTAATTTTGAATGGAGAGCATTTTTTATTCTCTCCAGGATGATGCGGCTAAATATTTTGCTTGCTTTGGGTGGACAGGAGCATGATTCCTCCCCAGTTTTTGCATAGACTTAAGTCACCCACACTTGTTTGGGAGTTTGACAAGGTAGTCCTTCTTCCAATCAATATGCAGGTGCCTTTCCTTCCTTCCAAACCTTCTGTTGTCTCTGCGTCCGTTTTCAGTTCTCGTGGAGAAATTCCATCTGGTCCTATTGCTTTACCGGATTTTAGCAACCTTATAAGGTGGTATTCAGGACTTCACTTCTTCTTTTGTCGGAGGGTTGGTGTTCACTGATATATCTGTGGCTGGGATGCTGATGGTGTTTCTGTATGAGTTGCAGGTGGTGTTGGTGGTCAATTCAAGTTTTTCGAAGTGGTCAGCTCATCGTTTCCTTTGTTTCGCCTGTTTGGTAACTAAGTTTCCTTCACTATCTTTCATTGGTTTCATCCGTGTTGATCACTGCCCTCCTACATGATAACCTGGTTACTTGATATGGTATTTCCAGGTCTCTCCTACCCGCCACCTGTTCTGCTTTACTTTCAAGTGCGTCGTAGAAGTGTCTTTCGTCTTTCCGCGCACTCTTCTTCACTTCTTTGTCCAGTGTTTTATGCGTTGCATTCAGTTCCTCTTTTCGCTGTTCATCCCTGCAGTACACTCGACTGGTTCATCTTCTGATTCACCATCTTCCTCTCTTTTATTACGTAATATTATGAGAGACTATTTTTCGCTTTTTCTAATCACTTAGTGTTCTTTTATTATCTTGCAATCAATAGTACACGAATCACAGCTTCTTATAGAAAGGGATTCATAAGTCAAATTACTCATCGAGAACAGGTAATGTTAGCTATAGTTAATCAGCTTATTTCAGTCATCAATACATTTTTATTGATGATCTTAAAAAAGGTCGAATGTGCGATAATTCAGCTTTAAACCTGACGAGAAAAATAAGGATAGATAGATAGATTTACATCTAGAATAGTGGGGAATATTTGTAACTCAGGTGGATGGTCTTGGCTGTATTGTCTTCTCTGAGGAGCTGGATTGTTTAATCGTGAAGCTTTCATTGTCTTAGTAGACAACATCATAAGCACTAACTTCAGTATGAAGTGAGCTGTTAATCTCTCTCGGTGAGTGGTGTGGTGGCTTGCTCTGACGATGTCATCTGTGATTGGTTGTCTCCTTCGATTGTTGTATCATTGACAGACTGTATAGACTTTCCTGTTGGCTGTACCTCTGCTTGACCTCTCACCTTTCTGTCGTTTATCATTTTTCTTATTGGTTGATAGATTGGATCTATGTCTATACATCTGTTGATTGCTGACTGACTGACTGACCTGAATGCCAAGCTTCTAGGAATTCTCTCATATTCTTTGTGTTTCTTCTCTCCATCCAAGATTTCTATATTGTCAAAATTGAATTCATGTCGATAATTATCCACGACAAGATTACTGAGACGACTGGGTAGAATTGGTTTGGCTCATAAACCAGCAAATTCCCTCCAAACCCTATTATGCAGACCAAACGATACAACAACCAAAGAAGACAAACCAAGCATCATTTACAAAATCAACTACAATAACTGTCGTCAACACTACATTGGACAAAGTGATCGGCCTCTTCACCTTCGTCTACATGAGAACACCAATTGGCTATTAAACGTCACAACGTTTTGTCACTCATTTCAATGCACGTGGATAACAACTATGGAGATGAGTTCAATTTCGACAATGTGGAAATTTTGGATGGAGAGAGGAAACATAAGGGATATCAGAGAATTCCTAGAAGCTTGGCATTTAGGTCAGTCAGTCAGAAATCAACAAATGCATAAACATAGATCCAATCTATCAACCAATCAGAAAAAGATAAACAGCAGAAAGGTGAGGGGTCAAGCAGAAGAACAGCCAACAGGAAAGTCTATACAGTCTGTCAATGATACAACAATCGAAGGAAACAACCAATCATAAACCAGTTGGTCAGAACAAGGTACTAAATCACTCACAGAGAGATACTGATAGCTCACTTCAAGCTGAAATCAGTGTTGATGACATCGTGTAGAAGAAAGACAATGAAATCTTCACTATGAAACAACCCAGCTCACTCAGAGAATACATTACAACCAAGATATCTAGAATAGTTTACACAAAAGGCAAATGAATGTGCATTATAATAGTTATCTAACCTTATTAAAATTGATCAGCAGGTTTGAATATACATTAGATCATGTAGTAATATTTACAGTATATCAACTATACATTGATGGTAATTCGATTGATTCAAATAGATTTCAGATCGATTATTGTTTAGTAAATTAAAAATAATTTTGTTGAATGAAATGTCTATAGTAGTGTAAATTGTATACCTTTTTTCATGTCTCTTTACCTCATTCTTTTTATCATTGGGATATCGTTTATATAACATTTATAAAATATTGAAAAGAATACATACAACTGTTTACTGAATAAAAATTTACGAAAATCAAGAAAGGTAAGTACATCTTGTATCCTATTATGAACACATTTCTTAATTTTATTCATAGTGTCTATTGTTATACGTTTATGCCTGGTTAACTTGTGTTTATAGACAAGGTTTCTGATACTAAGTGCCTCTTGTTAAGCAAAAACCAGTAAATAATTTTGCTATACATTTCATACTACTAATATAATTTTAAGTAGTTCGGAAAGAAATATCAATAATGTCGACAAATAATACTAGAGACATTGATGGTGTATTACGCAGTAGGATTGCATCATTGATAGGAGTTGAATCATCATTTCCATCAACAACTATACCATCAAATACATTTATATCACAGAGTCTAACTAACACATTAATAAATAATCATGATCAACGTGGATCTGGTGATATAGGTGATGATCATTATACAAAGAATGAAAAAATAATACATCATACACAAATAAATAATATTGATGGAATTATATCAACGAATCACGATGATGATGATGATGATGATGATGTAATGACTAGTTGTATTGAAAATGATGAATCATTCAATAGTTCATTGTCTAATAAACTGGTAAAAACTTCAACAAATAGTTTTATTACTGATACAGATATGGATAAAGAATATCAAGAGAAATCGATAACTGATTCAACTTATTATTCAATCTCATCTGTATCACCATGTTCTGATAATAATTCAGAGAATAATCCAATTAAATTATCTAATTCACCTTTACTACATTATACTACTAACAGTGATTTAATGAGTAGTAAATTTAATGAACAACAATTTACAACAGAACAAATAATAGACAAAATAACTATTAGAAATAATCTGATATCAAGTGAAGAAAAATATAATTATCAAGAAAATAATTCAGTTATTTCGACGCCATCAACACAATAACACCAATACAAACATCAATAAATTATAATCTTACAAAAAATCATGATTATTATACATTTGAAGAAGGAAAGAATAGGCTGAATGATAATGATGTTACTTATCCCAATAGCTATCGAGGTGAAGATGGTGTTACCTCTACCGATAGTCGTAGTAGTAGTAGTGGTGATGGTAATAGTAGCCATAGTAATTTCTCATTCAACTATATAAAGGTACCTAATGATAATTGTTTAAAGAATAGTATAAAATCAGAGAATATACCAACCAATGAGAATCAAGTTCGAGATCAACAGATATTTACAACATCTTGTCTAGGATTACAATCAATAGATTATTATCAACAAAATCAATATGATGATTGTTATACAAGTAAAAACTCTGGTAATAATACATTATCAAACAATAAGCATAGTAGTAATGTAACCATGTCTAGCAATATGAATACTAATCATACTACTAATACCATTAGTAGTAGTAGTAGTAGTACAAATTATGATCACCAATCAAATCGCTCAATTGATGATGACTGGCATACTACTACTGAAAAGAATGTTAGTAGTAGTGGTAATCTTGTAACAAAAAATTTACATGATACAACTAATTTATTAAATAATGATAATGATAATAAAACTAATTTAATTGTTAATTACTTACCATCATTTATGTCAGAAGAAGAAGTGAAATTATTATTTTCAAGTATTGGACAAATTGAAAGTTGTAAATTAATACGTGAAAAATTGACTGGTGAAAGTCTTGGTTATGCATTTGTTAAATATATTCATTCATATGAAGCTGATAAAGCAATAAATACATTGAATGGTTACGGTTACAAAATAAAATAATTAAAGTATCATTAGCTCGTCCAAGTTGTGAAACAATTAAAGGTGCTAATTTATATATATCTGGTTTACCTAAACAAATGACATTAAATGAACTGGAAAAATTATTTCAACAATATGGTCGTATTATAACTTCACGTATATTGTATGATAATAAAACTGGTTTATCACGTGGTATTGCATTTATACGCTTTAATCAACGTTATGAAGCTGAATTAGCTATACACTGTTTAAATGGTTATCAATTACCATTAAAGAATAAATTATCTGAACCAATCACAGTGAAATTTGCTAATTCAATTCAACATAATAATCTATTCAAACAAGCTGTACAATTACAGTCTATTGCTGGTTCTATTATTACACCATCATCATGTAATGCTATAGCAGCTAGTGTTGCTACTGCTGTTGCTGCTGCCTTCGGCTTCTTCAATCCTTTACAACAAATAGCATCAATATCGAATCGATTAACAGGTTGTTATAGTGTATCATCAAATTCAACAGGTATAGATTCTTTTCCATCAATGCCTAATACTACATCAATTATTAATCCATTATTAGCACCAATGATAGCAGCTAGTTATGGTGCATTAACATTGAATGGATGGTGTATATTTGTGTATAATTTACCACAAGAAATAGAAGAAGCTAATTTATGGCAATTATTTGGTCCTTTCGGTGCTGTACAAACTGTTAAAATAATACGTGATACAATGAATAATAATAATAATAATAATAATCAATGTAAAGGTTATGGTTTTGTTACAATGAGTAATTATGAAGAAGCTTTATCAGCAATACATTCATTAAATGGATTTGTATTAGGTAATCGAGTATTACAAGTATCATTTAAAACAACATCGAATCATAAATTGAGATCATCATCATTATCAAATACGCCACCACCACCACCTTCATCAATACCACCAGTGTTATCACAGTCAGAATTGAACACTTCACTTCCTCAACACTCTTCAATAATAAATACAAAAAATCACTTGAATTCAAATGATATCTCATTAAATTATATAAAGAATTCAGTATCTAATTGCAGTACTAGACAACAAACCTCCTTGTCGTCATCATCATCATCTACATCATGTCAACAAAAGTATCGTTCAAATTCATTGCAACCAAAGTATACAGAATCACAAAAGATATCCTTACTAGTTCAATATCCTACTACTACTACTACTACTACTACTACTACTACTACTACTACTACTACTACTACTAATAATAATAATAATAATAATAATAATAATAATAATAATAAGACTGTTCAATTGTCAATGGGTTGTTTAAATAATGCGGATATGAATGATACCAGTAGACATTTAAAACCAGCACCAAATACTACTACTACTACTACTACTACTACTACTACTTTCAATAATAATAACAATACAACTAATTATCATCGGACAATCACAGAATTAACTGATTCTTTTTCTGGTGCTTTATCAATTCAGTCAAGAAAGAATAATTCAATTCTCTTTCCTTCAAAAAAGTTTAGAAATATTAAAAGAAAAAATTTGTTTTATTAAAAATTCTGGAAAATATAAAGAAACATCATCCATATGGTATAATAATGAAAAGAATTTCGACTGATTTGAAGGTAAATAGACAAATTTTACTCCATCCCGCCTCTCTTCCACTACACGCATCTACAATTATCACGTCATATATATATATATATATATATATATATATATATATATATATATAATATAAAAGTAAAATAGTGAAGAAAGTCCTACAATTTCGTTTTTCCCTATTCTTTGGAAAATTAGTTTCTCTCTCGACCTATACGTACAAACATTCACAATGAATGTACCTTACATATCTCCATACTATCTATATGCTCAGTTAGTTATAATTTCGTTGTAAAGATTATACTTTATATTCAATTCATTGCAAATTTAAGTTTATAACAGTAGTAATAATAATACTAATAGTAGTAGTAATAATAATGGTAATCAAACGTTGAGTTTTTTTTTTGGTTATTGACCAGTATTACTTCTTTGTGTTCCCTTTTTTTTCATACATTTCAAATTTGTTTCATTCCCCGTACATTTTATTCATGAATACTGAATACTTTTAAGTAATCAGAAGCGGTGAATGTGGAAAAAAAGACTTATGAAAAAAGTAATATGAAAGACAAGAACAAGATAAAGACGAAGATGAACTGGAATGCTTCTATCCTAATCGAATTTAGCATGAAAAGAAAAAGGAAATCATGGAAGCATTCCAATAGTAATACATAAATTTTAACTTGATAATCAGATGAATACATTACTAATATTGGTTTTTATATGAAAACAATGTTAGTAATCAATTTAGTCATACTAAAGTGTTATTTCAATCAGTTTACCGCTTCTAATTGTACTTCTCAAAATGAATTTTGATGTTCATTTCAATAAAATATGTTTAAATAAAAGAAATGTATATGTAATCAATCTGTTTGATATATATATGAAAAGGACCTACATTTATAACTCTATCGGACATACTTTTAACGGGATGAAAGAATTACGAGTGTCAGAAAAGCTAAGGAGATAGGATTTATTTTGGACTGATCACGTGAATAAACAATACACCAATCACAAATAAATGCAAGTGTAGGCGGATTGGTGGTTAGCTTTGACCTTGAGAAGAAAGAAAATCAACCAATTGTAGTTCTTCTTTTCAATGACTAAAAATAATAAAAGTCTAAGGCCACCAACTTAAGTTGTACAAAAAACAATTAGCTATGGTTTCTTCTCTGTTAACTAAAGTTGGAGGTTGTGTTGTTCAATCTGCTCTAGGTTCGCAAACAGTTACTTTGGATAGTTTTTGGCGGGTAAGTTATTACTTGTGAAGTGTTTTCTTATATGATTTTTCTCAAATCACTGGAAATCTGGCTTTAATGAAACCAGATTTTAATAAAAACCAATATTACTAATTAGCTGCAGGAAACAAGTATTTTAATCAGTATTGAATATGTTATTTTTGAGCAGCTCACTTTACCTTCAGAGTATCATCGGATTGTACTGAAACCCCTTGCTAGGATAGGAGGAAGTCTAGGGTGTTAACTGTTAGAAAGAGTTAGAACAGACGTGAATGGGACTGGAAATTCTTTGTTAAAAATAGCACAGGATAACTTATCAGCTGGTTATCTAGTATTTAATACTCATGAACAGCAAAAGTGTAAGTACACTGACGATAGATCTCTTTTGATACAATGGGTAGCTGTTGCTATTGAACGGTCTTAAATGATTATGTTCGATTTGTAATCATTGATTAAGCACGCCTGATGAAAAATTAGGCCTATGGCATGAAAATAGCACGTCAATAAAACAGATATTAGAGATGGAATTCTAGGCAAAAGGCAAACCAACTGATGAACCTTGGAAACTTTGTCGACTCAAATGACTGGAGTATGTGTTACACGTGTCTAGTCACCATATTACCTGCACTAATAGGTGCTCAGACGAAAACGTAGCATCAGTCTATCAAGTCTTTGACTGTTGGTCTGATCTGCAAAGGGAAATGCACACTTCCATGTAGCCGAAACTGATGGTTCGAAAATTCTAAGTTATATAGCTGAAAATTGATCTCATTGTTACAGCTGTATCTGTATATTGTCTAGATCGCAATATCACATCCAGTTATTTTTTTCACTCCTTCTTCGTTTGTCTTTCTACAACTTTTGATTTCATTATTTCTCTTCCTCTATCTTTCACCATTTGTATTGTGTACCTTGATGTGGTTTTGTAAAAACTGGCAACTCGAACTGTTACACAGTGTTATCAAACCCCATGTTGATGCCTACTGACTGGTTGTAATTTGATTTCTGTTTACTACCCAGTTATTTGCCAGATACTATAATTAGGACTCACATTCAATGTGCGTGTACTGCACAGCATTCCGGTCTGTTCTACTCTATGGCTGTGAAACATGGCTATTGAAGGTGGGAGATATGAGAAGGCTTCAAGTGTTTGACCACCTTTGCCTTCCTAGTTTATGCCGTATTCTGTGGTTTCATCATGTGGGTAATGCAGAAGTCAGGTATACAGTTTTATGGAGAAGAGGTAAATCAGCTGACGAGGTTATGAACCTTCATCGATTGAGGTGGTTGGAACACGTACTACGTATGCCCAGTCACCGATTGCCTCATCACACAATGTTGACCGAAGTAGGTCTAGGCTAGAAAAAGACCCGAGGTGGTCAGACTAAAACATAGCACCAATGTATGAAGTGTTTGACTGTTGGTTTGAGCGATGTGGGGCGATGCAGACTAGGTGGTTGGGGTGGGCGGGACAAGAGGAACCGGTGGTTGGAGAGTGACTCTAGGTGATGATGTGGCTGAGAACCGATGTCAGTGATGCAGATGTATGCACACATTATCCTCATCTTAACGACGCTATAGTGAATCTCACCACTCTTTCTCTTTGAGTACTTTATATATCTTTTGATTGCATTCTCTTATCTTCATCCTTCACCTCACTACCTTTCTACTTGATGTACTGTACTGAGCTGTGGCAACTTGGACCGTTACAAAGTAATGCCTGGTCCTATGTTGATGATGACGACATACATTCAATGTGGCTCATTGCCTCGCCATCATCAATATCAACGCAGGATCAGACATCATTGTGCAAAGGTTCAAGGCTGATGTCAATACACCAAGCGAGAAAGCATTCAAATGAAAGATAAAGAAATGGAAAAGGATCGGTCAAAAGAGGTAGGAAATACCCATTTAGAAGAAGGAGGAATAAGAAAATATCGAATTCTGGAAACGTTAGATTTAATTTGATCTTGTATGCTACTGGAAACGTGCAGGTGACTGATACTTCTTGGCTGCCTACACCTAGTTCTCGAGGTGCTTGAAAAAGAAGGGTTCCTGCGTAACCACAGAGTTCAAAAGAACATCTGTTCGAGACCTATCATTTACAACCTTTTTGCATGTTTGGGATTTTAATTTGTTCCTTTTCATTCCAACTATGAACCCAGGTTGCCAACACTGGCATTCTACAGGCCAATGTGGTGCGCTATTTTTGAGTCAGACCTTTCCTAACCTCCCACACTTTCCCATAGGAAAGGCAGCATAAGTGTGGCACTGTTGGTCATCCTTACTGCTTTCATTCCTCCAGCCAGCCAGCCCTACAACTTTCCCTATGAACCCTCATCACTGCGTTAAAACGTACACTATCGCGGTAAATACCTTTTTTGTTGCCACTATCTAAAAAACCTTTCTGATATGATAGGACGCGAGGCAACAAGCGTTCCATCAACACAGATAGTTCTCTAACTGTGGTATTTCAGCCTGACCACCATGTCAAGGTAGCAGCCTTCAGTTGGGTGCAAATTGGCAGGACATGACGATCCTCCGATAAAAGCATCACAGAAAGAATGTAGAAATGTAGTTAAGAGAGTAACCGAGAATCAGAAAGCGAGTTCGATTTGGTTGGTCTAGACCACAGATAATCCTGTTACAATTACAGAAGAACCAGTTTGACAAACATATCTACCTTCCTAGATTCTATATATATCTGTTACCTAACTGCAGCTCGAGAAAACTAGTCAGGTGACAAACCTAACAGCACTAAACACTTGGTATATTTCTTGACCTGGAGGTGGCATTCGACTTCGTTGACGTAGAGGTGCTGTGGCAGTGTTTAACTGTGAAGAGAGTACCGAGCAAGTATATTATGCTGACTATGGTTCTCTACCAGAATTCATACGGTCGTGTAAATGTTTGAAGAGTTGTAGTTCGTAGTAAGGACAACCAGTGGTGTCCACCACGGATGCCTACTGTCACCGTTTGTGCTCAACTTCCTTATAGAAATTCTGCTAATGAACATAACCCTCTACACCTCAGACATTTCAGGGATTCACTCAAACCCAGGAGCACACCTGGTTGGCTTAGAGGATGGAGACGGCATTGTTCTGTTATGCAAAGACGCTGACAGTGTAGACTTCTGAATATCTTGAGCAAAAGTCTGAGTTTGTTTAACAAGTGTTTCACACCTGTCAAGTGTAAGATGTTGCTTCAGAACTGGTTCACACCAACTCCTAACGTAAGGATAGGGAGTGAAACAACAGTATGCCTTGATCACTCCATTTACTAAGTTGCATTAAGATGAAATAGGTCAGTTGCTGACAAAATCTCAACTCGGACGCTGAAAACTCGTCTGACACTCACCGAATTATACCATCTTTAGCGCCAGCGAGACATCCGATTATCTTTTAATTACGAGTATACTGTACAGCTGTCCACTTTGTTCTGTCATACGGTTTCGAGACATATCCATTGAAAGCAGATATGAAGAGAGTGCATGTTTTTTAACGTAGGTGTTTTCGCAGAATTGTTCAAGTATAATGGAATCACTGCGTGTTATGCCGAGGTTTGAGGTTGATTACTAAGCAGTGAATGAAGTTGTAAATCCGCACTGAGATGACATGGACACGTGCTGCACATGTGCACGCGCACGTATACTGGGTGTACTGCTCTGCAGCCTGTTCTGTTCTCTTATATGGTTAAGACGTGGCCGTTAAAAGTAGATATGAAGCGATTACAGGGTTTTGATCACAGATGTCTTCGTAGCATTTCTAGCATTTGGTGGAATCACCGTATGAGAAATGTTGCTGTCAGGCGAAGGGTACTAGGCAAGGCAAGCAAGTCGATCGACGAGGTTGTGAACCTTAGTTGACTGAGACGCGTACTGCGCATCCCGAGCCACCGCCTGCCTGAATATGCCATGCTAAGAGAAGTTGGACTAGGTCGAAAAAGGGTTCAGGGTGGCCAGACCAAGGCATGACTCCAGTCAATGAAGTTTATAACTGTTGGTCTGAATCATGTAAGTATATGTAGACCGCCTGGCTGGGGTCCCCGAGACGAAAGGAATCAGCGGTTGATCACTCTTGGTAACATAGCTAAAACTTGTTCACGATGGCGCCGATGTTTTCATACTTTGACGTCTTCTAAAGCTTTAACATTTGCACTATCCGTTATTTTCAGATTGTTTATTCTCTCATGTAACTTTATCTACTACTGTGAATTATGGCAATTTGAACCGATACACTTGTGTGAGATTCCACGTTGATTATGTCTGTTTGCATGTTGAGCTACCGACTACTTCGGCATGTAATGTTCGAAGTAGTGTTGTACTAGAAAAGGGCTCAGGGAGGCCAGATGAAGATCTGGTACCCGTTCATCAAATCTTTGATAGTTTGTCTAAGTAGTGTACATAGGTGTAGTCCACGTGTCTGGGATCCTCAACGTGGTAGGAATCAATAGTTAAAGGCTCTTGATAATATAACTCGAAATCGGTCACACTGGGATAGCTTTTGCAATCTTTGTCATCTTCAACGTCCTGATTGATTTCATTGACTTCTATACATTTACTTGACTCACTCCTTTCTGTTTACTTCATTCTTTTTCGTGGAGTTGTGGCTCAGTTATCATCATCAACATAGGACCAGGCATTACTGCGTAACGATCCGAGCTGCCACACCTCATATCAGTACATCAAGTAAACAGGCAGTGAAGTGGGAAATGAAGGGAAGAAAATTTAGTCAAAAGAAATATCAAGTACGAAAAGAGAGAAATGAAGAATGAGAAAATAGTGAGATTCGGCATAGCGGTCAAGATGAGGACAGTTTGTATATGCATCTACGCCACTGACATCGGTTCTGAGCCATATCACCTGGAGTCAGTCTCCAACCACTGGCTTCTCTTGTCTCGTGGACCCCAACCGGTTAGTCTGAATCGCCCCACATGGCTGAAACCAACAGTCAAACACTTCATACGTTGATGCCATATTTTGGTCTGGCCGCCTCGAGCCTTTTCCCAGCCTG